TTATCCGTTAGCACCAGAACCATTTGAAGTGAAACCAAATATGCTATCATCCTACCAGAAAGAACTACTCAAAGAGCTGAATCTTCTTGAAACATCAACTCGAAAATTAGTTCCGAATCTCCACAACAAAACCGATTACGTAATTCACTATAGGAATTTGCAGCTATACTTATCACTCGGTATGAAGGTCTCTAAAGTTCATCAAGTGCTTGCGTTTCAACAGGAGCCATGGTTGAAAAAGTACATTGACTTTAATACAAACATGCGAAAAGCAGCTAAGAATGACTTTGAAAAAGACTTCTACAAATTAATGAATAACAGTGTGTTTGGAAAGACAATGGAAAATCTCAGAAAACGAGTAGATATTCAGCTTATTCACCGGGAGCAAAGGCTTCTTAAGGTTACAGCAAAACCAGGGTTCAAATCATTTAAGATATTCAACAAAGATCTGGCATCGGTGGAACTTACAAAACAGAATCTTGTCTTGAATCGCCCTATATACGTTGGATTTTCCATATTAGAAATGTCAAAGGTACTGATGTACGATTTCCACTACAACCATGTCAAATACACATATGGAGGAAATGCGGAGTTACTGTTCACAGACACAGATTCCTTATGTTACAATATATTTACTGAAGACTTGTACAAGGATCTGGAGAAAGTAAAGCACCATTTTGATTTCAGTGATTACCCAAGTGATCATTTTCTATATGATGACACCAACAAAAAGGTCTTGGGTAAAATGAAAGATGAAACCATGTCAGAGCCTATGACAGAATTTGTAGGTTTGAGACCAAAAATGTATAGTCTTACCTATGGACCAAGTGAAAAACGCACAGCTAAAGGTGTCAGCAAATCGGTGATTAGATCGAAAATGCGCCATTCGTCGTACAAAGAATGTTTATTTCAAAGAGAATCTCACATGGAAACCATGATTACATTTAGATCAGAAAAACATCAGATACATACCATTGCCTTGAACAAAACATCTCTTTCCCCCTTTGATGACAAACGTTATATATTGAACGATGGAATTCACACATTAGCTCATGGACATTGGAGAATTTCCCATAATGCAATGGCTTTGAGTATTTAAGAAGTGACATGAGAGAGACTGGTCATTTGATGTTCTGTAGTCGAGGAGTCAGCGTCGATCATCATGAATCAATGTAAATTCTGCCCAAAAACTTACGTGTGGCCTCATGATTTACAGCGTCACTTGAAACTGAAACACCCGAGGAAAGATAAAGGATATACCGTAAGTTTCAACCAACAGCAGGAATATACAATGTTAACCCAGCAGCAGCAGCAGCAGCAGCAGCAAAAGTTATACAGCACTTTAAACAATCAACTGCAAGAAGAAACCTTTTTAACGCAACAAAAGATAAATGACGCTTCAAAGAAACAATACCAGGAAACACATCTTAAGCAGCAGCAGCAGCAGCAGATTTTTCAATTCAAGCATCCATTTACTGCAAACGTATCGGGACCAACCTCATGTGGAAAAACATACTTTGTCAAATTACTATTACAAAACTGTCTAACCAAAATTGCTCCCCCGCCAGAACGGATAATTTGGCTTTATAAACGGTGGCAACCTTTGTATGACGTCATAAAGGACACGGTTTTCCCCAGCGTGGAATTCATTCGAGGAATACCAATGGATTTGGAAGAGGATTCTTTTTTAAATCCTCAAACAAGAAATGTGTTGATTTTAGATGATATGATGTCAAGCACCTCCAAGGATTCCCGGATCAATGAATTGTTTACTGAAGGAAGCCATCATAGAAACCTTTCAGTCATCGCTATTAACCAAAACTTGTTCTACAACAAAGATCCAACCCAAAGACGAAACTGTCATTATCTCGTTCTGTTTAAAAATCCAATAGACAAACAACAAGTGATGACATTGGCTCGACAGATGTATCCTGGAAATACCCAACAATTGATGAGGCATTTCAAAGAAGCAACAGAAAAACCCTTTGGATATCTTTTAATAGATTTAAAACCGACAACGCCTGAATCAATGCGCATGCGCACTGAAATTTTCACAGACATGCCTATAAAAGAACACAAACCAGAAACAACAAGTCATTTGCAAAGATTTTCCGAAGAAGAAAGGACGCATCTAAATAGCTCTGGTAAAGTAAAGAGTCAGACTTTTGAATCCACTGATACATCTTTGCGTTCTATGATGGCATCTTGTGATGATTGTGGACTCGTATTTGATTGTACGCATGACCTCCAACGACATGTCAAGAGATGGTGCCCGGAAAATGATAATCGTAAACGACAACTCCCTCTGGATGATTATGAGGAACCACTTAAAAAGAAGCAGCATATCTTTCAGTCAGATGAATACGCAATGGACTATGACGATGATTCTCCTAATGCATCAACAGAAGAAGACTACTTCAAAAGAATGAAAAAAAGATCAAAGGTTAAAAATGAGGATACGTGGTCTGAAAAGTTCAAAAAATATCGAAAAGAGGGATTGTCTAAAATGGAAGCAGAAAATAAAGCAAATAACAAAATGCAGGAAACCAATTTTATTGCATTTTTAGACCTATATGGAAGAACTATTCTGGACATTTTAGACTTGAAAGGTGGACAGATCCACGGAAAAATAATGAATAGTATTGAAAAGTTCCTTAAAAAGGGATATGAAAACTTACCGGCTGTTCGTATGGCTCTCAGGAAGTACAAACATCTCCTTGAGGAGATGATGTATTTAACAGACGATGAACAAACAGATGATGAAGATGATGACACAGATTCTGAAGATGAAACCGAGGATGAAAATGGTGAATAAATTGTCCTCCATAAATTTATGTAATATAGAACTTTTATTTCATTTTACCGCTGGAGATTGACGAGGAAACATGTCTTGGGAGAACTATTTACGTGACATTTATTACAATCCAAATAATGCTGGTAGTTTTCTGGGACCAGACAAATTATTCCGGTATGTGAAAAAAGACGGTAAATATGTAATTAGCAAATACAAAATTAGGAAATGGTTGCAAAGACAAGAAGCTTACAGCTTACAAAGACCACTACGGAGACGTTTTCAACGAAACAAAATAATGGTGACGGGTATTGATGACCAGTGGTCTGCAGATCTCATGGATATGGCCAAGTTTGCCAAGTACAACGAAGGATTCATGTATGTACTGGTCGTGATCGATGTTCTATCAAAGTACCTGTGGATGCGTCCTTTGGAAAACAAAAAGGGGGTTACAGTAGCCATTGCTTTAGAGGACATTTTCAAGGAGGGTAGAGTACCTAAAAGAATACGAACAGATAAAGGACAGGAATTTCGAGCGAAGGAAGTTCAGAGACTCTTCAAAGATCATGATGTTCAACATCTTTATGCTCAGAATGAAACCAAAGCAGCAATTGCCGAGCGGGTCATCAAAACTATGAAGACGAGGATATATCGTTTTATGACTTACCAAAAGTCGTATGCATATATTGAAAAACTTCAAACTTTTGTCAAAAGCTACAATAGCACATATCACCGAACTATCGGTATGACTCCTAAAATTGTCAACAGTGGAAATGAAACAGCTGTGTGGTGGAAAATGTATTGGCCAAAGGATCACACAGTTATTAAAAAGACGAAGACTGTAAGAAAACCTTTTAGATTTAAAATCGGTGACCACGTTCGACTTACCCATCTCAGGAATCCATTTTCTCGCGAATATGACGAAAGGTGGACGGGTGAAATATTTATCATTTCTCAGAGGATTTTACGTGGTGGTTTACCTGTCTACAGAGTAGAGGATTTTGACGGAGATGAAATCAAAGGATCTTTTTATCAATCAGAACTTCAAAGAGTGGATGTGAAAGACGATGATCTATGGAAAGTTGAAAAAATATTAAAGACTAGAGGAAAGGGAAATAACAAACAATATTTCGTCAAATGGTTTTATTATCCAAAGAAATTTAATTCTTGGATCAATGCGTCTGATGTTTCAAATCTATGATATAGGAGAGTGCACTACCCTGGACAGGTCAAACATCAGATTCCATCTTTTCAGAAAGAGCGTATATAAACACAGATCGCTTAAGTATGATATGATGGATGGTAGACGACTCTCATAGTGTAAATAAATGTATTGTACATTATAGACTAGGCTGTAGGTCATTGTAAAATGGACATGGGATGCCTCTCCAACCCATGCTTCATAATTGTAACGGGGAAAATAAAAATCTAATTAAAAAATAAATGTTGTCTCTTGTCACTGATTCAAATTTTGTTAGTGCAACTCATGATTGTGTTTGAATCAATTATTGTTGTAAGCAAGGACTATCTATAACACCTTTGTTGGCGAGGACTATCTATAACACCTTTGTTGGCTACTCTATGATATAGGGAGACTAATTCAAATGATTCTTTTTGGAAAATTAATATCATTAATGAAAATGGTTACATAATGTCATAAAAGCCTTAACTCTTTGAAAGTTACTCTAAACTTAGTTGAATTGAATCTGTGTTAGAATCGAATGCGTTTGAAACATTTTGAGATTACTAGTGTGTATAATTATATAATTAATTTAATTGAAACTCCGACTACACATGAAAGAATCATATCGTTTCAAAAATTATGTAATTAATAATCAAAATATAATTAATTTTAATTAATATTTCATAATTAATTTGTTAATTTAATTCATTAGATGACGTCATGGGTATCCTCACACGCTGGGAGGATACCAGGAGGATCCTCCATAGTAACTCTATGGGAGGACACTGGTCCAGAACCCTGGTTTTTCCCCTACTTGTAAACATAAAAGAAATCGTTATAAAAACTAGCGTTTTCCCCGAAAGAGTCATTACATGTATCATATATTTATCTTTCAATATTTTCTAGCAAACAGACAACAATGTTTAGATTTTTTTCCATCCAAAAAAAGAAAGTTGTGTCATGTAGCGAAATAGGTAACCCATTTCTTCTGACATTGAAATGCACGTATTTCAAACAGATATTTACCTCCAATGTTATATATACAGACAGCACCATAACGCTCAGATTGTATACCACCATTGGTGTCTGAACCTGTAGTTGCTTGTGTTGTTCCATGACCTTCGGCCCTTGTTTGACCATCAGCAGATAGAGAAAGAATATGGTCAGTATTGGCACGGGACTGTCCATAAATGGCCAGCCACGCATCCTGTCATCTGAAGAATATGAAATATTTAAGTATATAGTGAATGTGAAAAATTGTATGCATTTGCTTCATCATAATTGATTTACAGAGAAAGGATTGAATTTTCTGTTCTTTGAAAGTTGATCGAATTTCTGTTGTTCTAAAGCAATCTGGTAACTGATTGTCGTCAATCGGTAGGGTAGAGGAAGAACGTATTCAATTACTAGTATTAGTTATGGTGAAACCATTGTCTCCGTAGCAAAAAGACAAAAACGTGCATTTTTTATTTGAATTTTTCGTTGTAAATCATACTCTCTTTCTATAATAAAAGTGTTGTTCGGTCAATACAATCTAATTCAACCATGCCGGTCTCCATTCACGTTTAGGTGTGGTTTAAGACAAGGAAATGTTCAAGGACATTAGACAAGTGCAGCTACTGTTTTGAAACCTTTGTCCGATAAAAATAAAAACAAAGATCAGGGATGGGCTGATATGCTATTCAAACAAAATTTTTTTGAGTTCAGAGGACAACTTTACATATGGATATACATTACAATATTTGGAGAGAGAGAGAAAGAGAGAGAGATCGAGATCAGTACATGTAATGGGAGTTGACATTACCTGTATAATTCATTAATCAGATAGTCTAAACTTTATTTATTGTTTATTTACATCTTCTTTATGCATTATTCTTCATATGAGTGTCTGCCTTGTGGCAGATTAAATATGTAATTATGACCTTGAACAAATTGAAATCTGCAGGTTTAAAGAGCAGCGACCCAGCATGAGACTATGTAGGACTCAATACCGTCATTGAGAACTATTGACTGCATTTTTGTTTGACAACAAACATTTAAAGTTTACTGACGCAACAGGTAATATCAGCAGTGAATTGGAGTTGGAATTTTGAAATGATAGAGCGAATGCATGTTTGGACCTAACTTATTTCAAAGCTTATTACTCGATTATATGACTGCTTTTCATAAAGATATACACTGAAGAATTATGAGATTTATTTCTTTCCATATCTAAAAAAAAAAGCGCGAGAGAAAGTTACCACAACCATATTATGTTTACATATTTTTTAAAAATCAAATTTCTGTATATACTAGTATATTGTTCTGTACTGCAAATTAGCAAACCTTCCCATGGCTGTAGGAACCGGGGGACGGGGGTGCACGGGGGCCGTGCCCCCAATAATTTTTGGTTGTGCCCCCTCAACTGTCAACTGAAAATGTATGGCTGTGCCCCCCCCCCCCCCAACTGAATTTGCTTCCTACGGGCCTGCTTCCATTGTCAATTTATACAGAGATAAAACAAAATGATACTTGGAATAGGAAAAGGCAAGAGAGGACGTATTGGGTACAAAACCCAGTAAGAACTTTTTCATCTTTGTGAGGGCCGTGGGTGTCTTGCTTTACAAAAATTTATGTTAGTGAACGTCTTAGGGGGTAGGGAAAGGGGGACAGTTTTTTTACGCTTCACATAGCATATATTCACACTGTATTATACATAAATTTTATTACATCATTGCTGGAGAATTTGCCCCCTCCCCCTTTTGTAATTTAAAATAAAAAAGTATTAGCTTAGAGGTTATTAATGAATTCTCTTACCTCCGTTAGTGAGATAAGTCTCCACCATTGTCATGTTTTCTCTGGGGGCTGCCATCTTCTATCTCTATCTGTCAAGCAGACATACACAAAATATACACCAGAAAGAACGAGTAACATTGCCACACCAAGTATCTCGGTTACATTGCTTAATGTAACGATATTTACTTCTTACAGAACTATATTTCCTACCTGAAGCAGTGTGTCTGTCAACACGTGGTCTTACGATTATACCCGAGATCGGAAATATCTATGGGAAGTTTCAAATCCTTGAAATATTTGTCGAGTTTTGAGTGAATGTCCTCCCACACTTTCTTTCATTTAACCAACACGTGTGCAAAAAAGAGTCAACGATACATGTATGTGTGTCATTCTATATTCCCCACAATAAAACAAATCATTTATTATACATACATTAACCGATATTGCTTTGCATTTAAAGTTCCCGAGAAAATTTAAGCATTGTCCAATTTCAGTGGAGAAAAATATCTATCTAATTTCACTGATCTTGTATGAATTTAAATTACCTTGAAGATGGGGCGGGGGAGGGGGATGAATGAATATTCAACACCGAAAGTAGAGGTTAATAATGGTGTGCATAGATAAATCAAAACGGCACTTACCCGCCCAACATTCGTTCACGTATCTGTGTCCTGATTTCGTTTCTATTTGCTTATTGAACTACGACTTGACTCATTCTTGCTAAACAACTCATTTTCATGTTTAATGTCGATTTGTCAATACTCCCAGCTCTTGCTAAATGAAAGAAGAAGGAGAATTAAATTATCCGTCACGTGTGCTTGCTTTCAAGGCCAATTATCAAAATTATTTTACAAAATATCTGCTAATGCATGGAAGCATGACCACATGTATATTTTTAAAGTTAAAGCGTATTTTATTTAAGGGAAAAAAACTTACCTGCCGTATACGTAATTGTCTCCCGTATCCATCACGGCAGGTACATTGATCAAAATTAATAGCATTTATTAAGAAAAAAATTTGGGTAAAGAATTTCGTATTCCTGTTACCAGTACACAAGATATTTTTTTTATTTACCAAGCAAGGGTCCTGAGAGACATTTCAACATATATAAATGCACAATTTATATATATTCGAATAAACATGCATTTTATGTAATCATTGCATGTTTGCTTAGCTTCATCTACAGTCATGAGTGTACTTAAAGAATAAAATATCAATATTTAATTTTCTGCCAATTCAAAGCTATAGCGGTCCTCTACTGCCTTTGAAAAAAAAAAATCTGTGTTAATTTTTTTACAGAAAAAATTAAAAAAGTACAATTGTACTGATTTTTGAATTTCTTTCGTAGCATGACAAGTACAAGTAATTATTCTTCTAGCTTGTCAAAATCCTGCATCCTCCGCATTCTACTTGATTATGTGAAAACGGCGCACTTTTTTTTTTTTTTTTTTTTTTGAAGGAATGAACGTTTCTTCTTCGACCACATAAAACTTTACCACTTAGATTTACCCTATTACATATTTAACACAACTTCATATAATATCTGCAACTCTGACTAAAGGAAGGGCGTTCTCTATGTACGTACATTGGTAATAGGATACTCATAGGGCTGTCACGAGTACCCGAAATAACCGAGAACCGCGGTCCAAGTTGTTCGGTTCGGTTCCGGTTCCATTTTTCGGATTTCGGTTCGGGTCTGGTTTAGTCTGTATCATCCAGACGTTTGCGTTTACCTCCGTGGAGGTAAACGCAAACGTCTGGATGATACAGACTATGATGACGATAACAGTGATAAATAAACATCACAACTGAAATGTACTTCATTCCATGACAAAACACTTGTCACGGAAGTATTAGATAATTATCGAAACGAGCAGGAATGGTCAGGTTGCGGCTAATAGTAGGCCAAGTCACCGATGTCTAGACGTTCGCATGGTTAAGACTTGTTTCCAATGTAAATTTAATGTAACAAATAAAGATTTTTCAAGTTAAGTTCATGAAATTAAGGTTTAAAATAGATGTAAATACCCGACCCGAAAAACCCGAAACCGAGCCGAAAATTTACAGAACCGACCCGACCCGAAAAATTTTGGAACCGTGACAGCCCTAGATACTCATATAACAAAATACTAAATATACATGTAAAAAGAGTTGCAAAAATAGTACTGAGCGGAAGGGGCATCGTCGCAAGCCACTGGTTTTGTGTCCATTCTATTTCCATTTGAGGAAATAGAATGGACACAATACCCGTGGCTTTATTGCAACGATGAGGAAGAGGGGGGGGGGGGGGTGGAGTTGCTGAAAATTTTAAGAGAAGCATATTACATTTCCAAAAATAATTTGGCAAGGAATGGCGCATTCTAATTGTAGGATACCATTGGGTGATCTCGACTTTTGCTCGAGTAAAGGACGAGATCACCCGTGGGTATCAGACGATGGGTATGTCCCCGCTCCGCGATGTCCCTAATCCGTTATTATAGCAGACAGATATATAAATTTATATAGATTACACAATTTTGACACATGCACATAAGATAGCTCATTGACCCTAGCCTTTTGATAGAAAAGTTTGTAATTTTCTCAAGTTAAGTACATATATTGATCACTGTTATAGATAATGGAATAAATTACCGCATAAATATACGGTATACATGTAATATTATTTTTACAATTTTAAATACTACATACATGTACATAATGTATAGTAGTATGCAAATCTATAGGGGACGCTTAGCCCGGAAGTTAAGCTTAGTTATCTTTCTTTGTACAGATAGGTGCAATATTTTTTTTTTATTTACATCGCTTATAAGAACAATTATGCGAAATATATCGGGTTTTTTTTTTCGCGTACATCAATCAAAACTTGATTTTACTCTCCTTGATCGATATATTTTTAGACAGTGCATTTATTTATCGATGTTTTAGGTACAGCTTCATGGCCATAGGAATCGGGGGGGGGGGGGGGGCACTGTCCTTCTTTTGGCATTTTCCGAGAATCAGAAATTTCTGTAGAAATGATCTCGTCTCCTTTCTGATTAAGATATACAACAAGGGATTAAGAACGACATTTGTTTAAGCTAGTCAAAGGCCAGTGAGTTGTCCAATAATGTTTATCTGAAACAGGTAGCGAAAGAAAACATGCCACATAAAAATAAAATGCCAGTAACTCTAAATTTCAAGTCTGAATTATAAGTCTGAGGAAATCACCTGTCATGGCTGCTGAAAAAGACTGGAAACATGCTGCTTTACTTTACAATGTGTTGGAATATAAAGGGTTAGGTTGATCATGAAAAAAAATATCCGAAGGTAGTCCAACACAAAAGTCATTTATTTTGCCTGAAGACACCCGTAGTTAAAAAAATTGTAAATTAATATCTTTGTTCCTCTTTTGTAGAACGACATTTTCTGAGAATCAGAAGTTTCTGTAGAAATAATATCGTCTCCTTTCTGATTAAGATATATAGCCAGGGATTAAGAACGGCATTTGTGTAAGCTAGTCGAAGGCCAATGAGTTCGAAGTTGTCCATTCCGTCCAGGATACGAAGAGAGCGGGCAAAAATGTTTATCTGAAACAGGAAGCGAAATAAAAACATGCGACATTAAAATAAAATATTGTTAATTATACATTTTACAATAAAATCTTGCAAGAACAGCATTGCTAAACGGAAATAGTTATTGGTCTGGATCACTTATATAGTTGAATGCAACACAATCCAAAAATCGCAATCGCACAAGAATTGAGAAACAGGATAAAAAGTGCGTTGGTGTAAAAGAAACACCAACCCCTCTCCAGTCATGACTGACAGTTATACATGTATCTAACCCATATTTTAACATTTAGGGTAGGTGGTAAATAACCTGATAATAAACTAGGACTTCCTCGTCTCTGCTAAAACCACAGGCCTACAGATCGATTAAATCTTACTGACAAACCTGGGATGTAAAAAAATGAAAGTTTTTTTATACCCCAACTTTGTCAGACGAATTAATAAATACAGATCTGAAGGCCTGTGGCTAAACGGACATAATTTTGTCTCAGGCCAAGGAATATTTGAATATTCTGACTCACAAGTTCAAATCCCAATCTGACGTAATTCTCGCTATCCTCTTTATCACAAATATTAAAAATCAATAATATAGTCTTAATTATTGAAATGAACTGTGAATCAAATTAAAGAAACAAAGAAAAACATATGGAGAAAATACTATGTGTAGTACTAAGTATTCAACACAGAGGACAATTTAATACTGCCTAAAAGCAATATTGGATCTTTTCATATTTTGGTTGTAAAACACATGTACAGTCCAAAGCTTTTCTTAGGTGAGGAGTCTGATCTCAAATGAAACATGACCTGACATTTTAAAAACATGTCCCTCAATAAATATAAAGTCTCTGATTCAAATACATGAGATTTCATTTGACAACACATATATATATGCATATAGTGCCATGGATAAACAAACAAGCAAACAATTGCCCTCAATATTGAAACTAGTATTTCTTACCAGCAATGGTATTATGCAGATCGCAAAAAGAACGACAACAGCTAACAGAAGCACTATCATCTGCTTGCTGTTTTTACTGGAAATTCTTTGCTTTGCAACTTCACTACCAACGAAGCTTTGTCGGAGCAAAGTGATGATAACTGTGCAATTCAGAACCATAATTAAGGATAGCAGGATAAATCCTATAGTAGAATAAGCTAGGGAGATGCCTCGATCAATCCAAGAGTCGGACTTGAAATCTACAAAACACCAGGAACCCGGATAAAAACTTCGACTTTGCCTTCCCGCCAAAATGTGAACAGACGACAAGAAAACAGACAATATTCCTCCAAGTATTAATAATACATGTGCTCGTCTTTCTTTAGATGAGGTGCTGTATTTGAATGGAAAAACAATCGCAAAGAACCTGTCAAGTGACATGGAGAATACGATGAAAGCTGAGTTCAGAATAGCAAGCATCTGAATGAACGCCATGTAGTCACAAAGAGGCTGGGTGAAAGTAAAAGTAAAGTTGGATGCGTATCTCGCTATTCCGAATGGTGCAGCTAGAACCACTCCAAAGAAGTCGTTAATAGTGAGGACGCAGACGAATCTGTAGAATGGGCGCCATTGGTGATCTGATGATAAACGGCAAAGAATGGCAAATGCTAACCCATTGCCAATGGCTCCTAGAATTAGAAGAATTACAGGTGCTAAGACGTTGGGGTTTTCTCCGATTGAATTCAAAGTTGACGAATTTGTTTGATTTGAAGACATCATCTGATGTAATCAATTCCCAGCAATATACCAGTATTCTGATCCGAAACCCTGTAAACGATTATTAGATACTGTATGTACTTAAATGTTAGAGTACATGTACATGTATCTCGTGCACTTCCTATTTTTGACTGTGCATCAAATTTTAAAATGACACGATTTTTTTTCTGGCAAATAATTATGTATCTTTACACAATAACATCCTTGTTACTTCACCTTAAAACCCGGATTTAAAAATATTCGTGAAATTGGCAAATTAAATGCTCAAGTTTTGATTGAAGAACAAGACTGAGTGGGCTTTTAACAATAAATAAATTTTTCCAAATGCTTCAAATGAGAAATAGCTTAAAAATACATGCACAAATAAATAAAAGGGGAAAAACGACAAATTATAGAAAAAGGAAAATTTAATGCATATAATGGAAACAATTATATTTATACCGACTGTAATACTTTAAACAATAGCTCTTTCTTTAGTGGTAAAGTCGATACAAACTATGATAACTTTTAATTAAAAGCATACGAATCTCTGGAAAGTGTAAAGAAATTTAGAGAAGGGGGGGGGGGGTTGCAGCGTATGCAATGTTGTAAGATTTTACTTTCAATGGATACACATTATTAAATATAAATGAAAAAAAAATAGAAATTGTTTCGGAGGGGGTATTATGATACCGATATCGATATACTTTTCAAACCAAATACATGAAGTAAGACACAATGATTATTATTTGTCTAGAAACTAAAAACCTTACTTGTAAATACTGTCTCTGTTACATTTATCGTCTTCCAAACTCCCACGCCAGTGATAGGCCATGGGCTAATTTTTTTTGGGAGTATTGATAAAGTAGGGGAATCTTCGGGTAAATCATACTTGTCGGTGATATAAATTTAGATTTGTAAAGTACTCCTCAAACAAACATAATCCTACGAAATCATTTCAAGTTCCAATCTAGTCAATAACATCCGCGTACCGCCAAGAATTTCTAACGCTTTTTGAGATAGTTTTCACTTCCTTTGATATTTAGGACTGTGATTCAGGTGTCCTTGAAATTGACCCATCTAGTAATAAAAGTGATTACAAAGCAACTTATATTGCACTTTCCTCAAACATTAATTTCCATCGTGCTTAAATAAACGAAAAGTTTGGGATTGTAAAAATGGTGACTTTCACAAATTAATTTTTTTTAATTGGGGTTAATACATTATGGATTCCGATACTTAGTATGCCGTATGCCCAATGGCAGTTCCCCCCCCCCCCCCCCCCCCAAATGACAGAATTTTTAAAAAGAGTGTTGATTAATTCTCCTTTGTTTGAAGTTTCAGAAAACCTGTATTTTACATATGATCAGATCATGATACTAGCAATGACAACATATATATACACTATGTACATTTATTTTTCTGGGCTTTACATAAAGTCTTGAATTTTATCAATGAACTTTTGGGTGGTGTTCAATAGTTAAAAGAAGTGATGATTACAATACAATGAACTAGCTAAAGACACCATTTATAGTATTATTTTTACAATGTAAATGCTAAATACATATTGTATTAGTATTCAAATCTATAGGGGACATTCGGAGAACACATCTCAGTTTGGAAATTAATTTACACCGGGTTGTATTCCATACATCCTGAGGCCGTAAAACCTATTTACACTGTACTTTTCTTTGTACATCTAGCTGCATTATTATTTTTATTAATATACCTTACCTAAACTAAAATAATGTAGTTATGCAAAACATAAATTGGTTCGAAAATACCGGGCAATTTAATTCGTCTCCTACATACTGTATGTATGTGCCTGCCTCAATTATAGATTCCTCTTCATATTTGTAAAATGGAGCATAAAACAGATCATGATAAAAGAAATTTCAAAAGTAGATTACTTAATAATATTAAATTTAACAATATTATATATACATATGAGCCAAGGGCAAAGCCCAAGGAATGATAACAATTGTTACTGTAATATTGATAAATATTAATGTATTTCTGTATGGTGTTTAGTTTCAGAGCATGGGTTAAAAATTTTACATATAATTTTTTAATTTCTGATGACCTAAAATATTAATTTATTTAAAATGTTTATACATTTAATTATTATTTACATGCATTTTCTCTGAGAAATTTCAGGAGGGTCAAGGGATGTTTCATGTCAAACGTGTCTACGGGTCACATATCCCTGTTTGGCATTCTATGCGAAGCCCTTCCTGGGACGACACCTCCCTAAAACAACACCCCAACGCCGCTAAACTCTCCCGATGGAACACACCATTCAGAGGGGGGTTAAAAGCTACCTACACCGTCGGGGTATATTTTTATTGGTCAAATTTAAATAATTTCAAGCTACTCCCCCTATGAAGAATACAAAAATCGAGACGGTATGATTTAAAGTTAATAATTTTACCAAAAATTATTCATTTAGAGATACAGAAGAAAGACAACTAAAAAGGTAATATAGTATTTAGAAGAAAAAAATTTACGTTAAAGCAATTTAGAATTTAATCTGTTATTGCTTTCCTAATAATTAAAGAAAAGTTATTCAAATGTCAATGAAAATAAGATGAAAAATTAAAAGTTTGGGGTAGGTGATATCTTTGTGTTTATAGTTGACGTAAAATAATTTCTTTGCTAATTAAGCTAAAGATATAAAATATAAACACTTTATGCTTAATATATTGAAGCTGCATGTGATAATATGCATTACAATGTACGATATTGATATACATGCATATGAGAAAATTAGGAAAGATTTCTTTTCTCGACAAAATGCTGTGAATTTAAAGGCAGAGATTTTTTACCGGGTGGTAAATTACAGGTGAGGGAGGGGCTTATTTTGTACATGTGTGAATGCCTTGAGGGCTAGCAGACTACCTGTGGTCGTCTGTCTCCTAATCCCTATACACAGGAAGTGATTTAATACACAGTGGAGTACCTAAGAAGTCAAACTTTACCTATGTTGGGATTTTGAGATGATTTTCAGTTAGAAATAAAAAGTTGTAAATAAAGTTTAATCTGAATAATTTTTATTAATTGTAATTGAATGTGTGTCAAAGCATCCCCACCCATTAAAAAAAATTTAATTATCAAATTTTAATGTTTGTTGGGCTTTGAAAAAAAAAGTTATACCAAATGTTGATATATATTATTATAAAGAATATCATAATTATTTTAAATACTAAAGGTGGGTATATATATTATCAAGCTAAATATTCTATAGTAATACATCTTCTCTGAATTGTTTATACCATGTGTGGTAAATATCAAAGGATCAAATGTTAATTTGAAGGTCACCACGAGTGCCAAACAATGTGTACAGCGTATACACAGGGACTAGTAAGTAAATGTCAATCAAGTTCTAGCACCCAATGATGTACCTTAATGCACTTGATTGACAGGGGTACACAGACCAGGTATTTTGGAAGGCGGTGCTTAAAATCTCTGCCTTTAAGGATTTGAAAAAAAAATGGTTTACAGACTCTTCGCACAAAATATCCCATGGGAATTATAAATGTTGGCATGTATGCAGATTCTATTTATCTAAGTAATGAAAGTGTAATTTTATGAGTATTTTCCCCTTATAAATATATTGAAAACCAAGCAAAACTAGATGGTGAAATATTTTATATTGAATTAACATAGCAATGCCTATTGAAAGAATGGTTTCTTCATATTTTTTAAAGAATTAATTTTTTATACATTTTTTTTTAATTCTTGAAGTAAATGTAGCCGTTCAAAGTGATACGTGTGAAATCAACATAAATCGTATTTTACATATAGGAAATTAAAATTCTTCAAATAAGTATTTAATTCTATCGCAAAATATTGCAAAATATTTTTTTAAACTTTGTCTTGATATAGTATTCTATATTTCATATCTATAAACAGAAATATATGATTTACATACTACGAGCAATTAAAAATCATAAAGGTTCTCTCGAGTTCTCTCGTGTTCTCTGTTTAGTACATGTAGGATCCATTCACATAGTAGCGAAGACCTACTTTCAGCCACAAAAAATATAACAACTGCCTGAAAATTGTCCATAGGGATGGGGTGTTAGTTTCGAATTTTTTTTCTTTTCCACTTCCACAATACAATTTATATTATAACGTGGGAAGGTTTGGCTCCATATAACCCCAAAAGTGGTTGAAGTGGGAGGGGGGTTAAAAGAAAATTGAAAATTTTCAGCAAGAGATTGTTCCTGGAAAAAGGGCACAGTCCCCCCTTCCGGTCCAATACTGAGTGCTGTGTTTATCACATTGTATAAAAGATACCCATTGATCATAAGGTTCAAGTCATGTGTATATAAGTCGCATTTCTCCTCTTTACAAATACATGTAATTAAAAAAAAAACATGAATCATGTATTTCTTGTAGCCACCATGGCCATCAACCCTATGATTTTATCAATAACAAGTATATGTATATAATAGAACTGAGTAATCTGGTAATGTCATTATGTAATTCACTGATCGGAAAGTTTCCACATGAAGCAGGATAAATAAAATTCAAGTGTGAATGTCATTAGATATGTTACATAAACAGTCACTTTTAGCTATTTATAAGTCCAAAATTCAAGTTATGCCAAATAAGTGGCTGGTTTAGAGGGCACCTTGCAGTCCTACCTCTTTAAATTAAGAATGTCTTGAAAAAAATGTGCTTTAAAAACTTACTATTAATTACAAGTATTGTGAAATTTTATTATTTTGTATTAATGCTCTTAAGTTTCTTTACCTCCACCCCCACCTGACCCTTTTGAAAATCCTTTATTCACTATCTGTAAGTAATATTAAATTGTATATGAGTATTGAGACCCCCCCCCCCCTACAGAATGCTTTGAATTATGCAAATCGAACTTCCTCCAATTATTTTTAATATTTTTGCTAATGTTTTAAGTCACATGTACCTAATATCTCTTTAAAAAAAGATAACTAAGCAACAGCATCTTAGGGGAAACGTTTTAACATTTAAGGGTTAATTGGTAATGTCACACGTAA